GCGAATGACCCGTCGGGGCCATATAACACCAGGGATAATAGCTGTCCGATTTCGTCATGGGATACAGCGCCAGCCGCGGACCAGAACCTCCACGGAATAATTGAATTTTCGGTCAGAGAATGCCCGGCATTCACCCATAGACACGAGGCCAGTGACGATGCTGTGAAAAGTGTGGGAAATAACCGAAAGCCCAAGGGAAAGTCGAAGACGTCATTAGAAATGGGTCGCAGCTTGGACGACCACGACGTGCAGGAACCAGAGACGATATGCCGTGATACCCATCAAAGGCCCTTCTTTTTCAGATAGAGATCTGTTTCTCCTTTATATAAGGCTTGTAGCTTGTGATGCCCATCAAGGTTGCCCACAAGCACAGCTACTGTTCATCCTGACATCCAGTCTTACGTCTCATCACTTATCCACCCCCCCAACCCCCCCAAGCACCTCGCCAAACACATCATGGGATATCCAGACACCTTCGAGGGCTTCTGCGTCGACAGCCCAAAGACTTGGACTGAGTTCTCCAAGCAAACCCTCACGCCCAAGCCCTTCACAGACGATGATGTCGACATTCAGATTGAGTGCTGCGGCGTCTGCGGCTCGGACGTCCACACCATCAACGGCGGCTGGGGTGAATTCAAGGGTCCACTCTGCGTCGGCCACGAGGTCGTAGGCAAGGCTGTCCGCGTCGGCAAGTCCGTACAGGACGTCAAGGAGGGCGACCGCGTCGGCGTCGGCGCCCAGGTCTGGTCGTGCCTCAAGTGCCCGCAGTGCAAGTCCCAGAACGAGAATTATTGCCCTCACATGGTCGACACATACAACTCAAAGTACGAGGACGGCAGCGACGCGCACGGCGGCTTCGCCTCGCACATTCGCGCACATTGGTACTTTGTCTTCCGCATCCCCGACGCCCTCGACTCGGCCGACGCAGCACCACTGCTATGCGCTGGGTTGACGACGTACTCCCCACTCGTACGCGCCGGTATCAAATCTGGCAACAAGGTCGCCGTCATCGGCATTGGCGGCCTCGGCCACCTCGGGTTGCAGTGGGCCAAGGCGTTGGGTGCAGAAGTGTACGCGCTGACGCACTCACCTAGCAAGGAGAAAGATGCTAGAGCGCTAGGGGCCGCGGGCGTCATCGACACCAACGAAAACGGCTGGGCCGACAAGTGGGCTTTCCAGTTCGATTTTGTCCTCAACTGCACGGATGCTGCCGACAAATTTGATCTGCCGACGTATCTGAGCATCCTAAACATTGGCGGCGAGTTTCACATGGTCGGTCTGGGTGACAAGCCGCTGCCGCAGATGCCGCCCAGCGCTTTTGCGAGCAATGCTGCCAAACTGACAGGCAGCCATATCGGCAATAGGCAGGAGATGCAAGCCATGTTGAAGCTAGCTGGCGACAAGAACATTACGCCCATGGTGGAGAAGCTTCCCCTGGGCGAGAAGGGGCTGAAGGAGGCTGTCGAGAGGGTTCAGGAGAATAATGTTCGGTACAGGTTTACCATGACCGACTTTGACAAGGTTTTCAAGGCTTGAGTTGAGGTATCGGATTAGTCTCGGAACGTAATGATCGGGCAGGCGTCTAGATGGAATCTATCTGCATACATTGTGGTACTGTGTTAGTTGATGTGAGCACATGAGCTCTGCCGTAAAGCGTGATATCAAGTTGATGTGCTAGGTTTCAACTAAACGTTGGACAAAAGGCTGCAACGATCAGTGACAAATATATTGTCCAGCACTTTGTGTCAACTTTTCCAAGTAACGAGCAATGCGGAAGTTGACCGTGCCCACCGGTACATTGGATAGGTAGATTGTGAGGACTTGTCTACTACAAGAGTCACATGTGTAGTACCATTGTACTCTTGGGCCACTAATAACGTGACCTGGGCTGTTGACTTTCATGAACGCGTCGAATATGCATTCAAACGTTCTTTCCCTTTTCAGAGACACGTGTAAGAGACACAAATGGAAAGCTCAACAATCAACTTACCCTCCAGTTCAAGCAGTGTGCCACAAATCTCAGGCAAGTGCTGACATAACTACGCACTCAAAGACAACCCTCCCATCGCCAAACGTGCACGCCAAAGCCCTCATCACCACAAACAAAGCATGTAACGAGAATGTCTGCAGACCACCCATTCGCAGCATACCACCAAGCTGGTGGCGCAGCTCAAGCTGAAGTCGCAATGACAACTGCGCCCCTGACCCATTACATCCAGGAAGCATACCATCAAGTCGACCCCTTTGACGAAGAGGCCCCCATTTTCCACGATGATCTGGAACACACGGTCGAGCCGCTACTTCGCCGTGGGTTCCGCAATACCATCATCCTGGCAGCAGGCGGATACAACCCGCCTCACTACGGCCACGCCGAGCTGCTCACCCACGTCTTACACCATGGCGGCGAAGATCTCAACATCATCGCCGCCATCATGATTCCCATCGACGACGCCCACCTTGAGCGAAAATTCAGCATTGCAGAGAACCCCATCATTCTGCCCAAGTCTTTGCGCGTCTCGCTCTGTCGGAATAGCCCCCTCATCCCAAACAACGTCTGGGTCTACGACCAGCCGGAGACAGAATGGCACGCCTTCCGCAGCCGCCTGGAGGCTTCAATCGTGTCCAGCGTTTCACCGTCGACTTCATGACGGCCGTCGGCCCCGATCATGTCTCCATCAGCTCAGTGCACAGCCCGGCCCGCTGGAACTGTTCCGAGACCATCGTCTCGGATGCCTGCCGGCCCGCAGATTTCGTGGCCGGGCATCACAAGAACCTCGTGCGCATCACAGCGTGCACTGATTGGCACCGGCTGAAACACATCAATCTCGGCAAAATCCGACGCTTGATCGAGGACAAGGCCGCACGCCGCTTCAACGATGCTCTCGTTATCGGGAGCGTGCCTCATGCTGGTGAGCTCCCCTTCCCCTCCCAAAGAAATGTCATCTAACCACAACACTGACGCCTCTACAGAACGCGAGCAGAGGGCTTATGTGGAGGAGAGGTTTTGCGATGCCGTTCTTGACCTGCGCGCCAATTAGGAGACGCGGTGCGGAACAGTCAAGGGTGTGCCCAAGCTCACGATCCGCTTTGTGCCGTGGACCGAAGGACAACGGAAGCCCAATGTGTCGTCAACGGACATTCGGAAACTTATTGTCAGCTGTGACGCGACTGAGCTCGGCTCGACGAAAGGGCTCGCCGGCAAGGCGCTCTGCCACGAGGAGCTTGTTCGATGGATTCTGCGTGAGCTGCCAGAGCGGGCGAAGATGAGCGCTGTGCCAGTCAAGGGAGAGAGTACAGTTGTCCATGCGTGGTAGGAAGCAGAAATAAAATGTGTTGATGGGGTGCTTGGAAGCGTAACACGGCATAGCTTTCATCGTTGGTTGACGACAAGACTTCTGGTGGAACAGCCTATTGCTCGAGGAGGTACTGGTAATTAGTAGCCGTCGGCAGAACTGTACAGGAAACAAGGACCTGAATCGTCTTCAACAGAAGAGATTTCGTTCACGATCATCCTGTCGTTCGTAGTGTTGTCTTGAGTATCTCACCAGTCTCTACAGAGGCTCAAGCAGGCCTTGAGACCTGAGTCGAAGGACGGTGATGTCGAAACAGAAGATCCGCCACAGGTGGCGCACG